AATTAAAATATAGTTTATAAAATACTTATAAGTACAAAATTTATCTTTATGACACAAATTAATTATTAATATTTACATATTTTTTTCTTTATTTTTTATAATTTTAATTTTAAAATAAAATTCCTATCATGAAGGAATTGGATGATTTGCTCAAACTATGATAGATTTATAGCTTCAGAATCTTTAAGATTTTTTAATAAAGGTTATTGATAATATTTAATTAAATTACAATGACTAATACTCATTAAATCAAGACATTAATTCAACCAAATATATTTATCTTAGCTATATAATTCACTTTATGTTCACATTAATAAAGAATGATTTATTTTTACATTCTATGTAGTCAGTAAAACAATATCATTGTATAGAGTTGCAACTTTTAAATTATCTATTGAGTTAAAATTCTTTCAAATCTTTGTGTTAGATATTTAGTAAGCCAAATAAATTATGAAAAAACTATTAAGGTAATCTGTTATCATGACTTTGTGTATCATCTCGAACAATACTTTAAAAGGTAGGTATTAGGGACAAATGTCTCTGTACACAAAATCTTAGAATTGATTGGTTTATATGACTTATGCATTATTCAATATTTTAAAAAAATTATAAATGAATGCATACATTTGTAAAATTGAAGATGAAATAACAAATAATAATAATAATAAGTTTTTTAGATACAAAAATTAGTGTTTTAATATAAATTTAAAGGCCTTAATGCTAAATATTTAGTAATTTTTATTTTTTTCATTAAATTTTTTATTAGGCTGATAAAATAATAATCACTAATTATTAAAGACTTATTTGAAAGAAATTGTCAATTATTTTCAAATACAGATATGTTTTGTAGATTTTTAATAGGCTTTAGAATTTTGGGTTTATAGCAGAGACTATTAATGTTATACATATGTTAAAACTGGCAAGGGATTATATCTATCACAATTAAATTTAACATAAATAATTTAATTTGTAATTGATTATAGATGAGAGAGATTCATTTTGGATTAGGCACTGTCTCTGCTGTATTTTGGGTTAGATTTATCAAAACTGAGTAATGACTTCATTAATAGGTTTTTAGACTCAGTTACTGAAATTTAAACCAATATTTAAATTGCAAGTACTATCAACTTCTTTTATAAAAAGTCATTTTCTTATACCAGAAATGGATTGCAATAAAGAATATAGTTTTTTGTAACTAAAATGATGTCTGTGTAGATTTCTTTTGTTTCTGGTTTCACATAACAATGTTGCACAACTACTTATTGCAATTTAATTATAAGTGTTATATATGAATTTAACTATCAGTTTTTATAAATTAACTGTTAGTTTGAATAAATTTAACTATCAATTTGTACAAATTTGACTGTTAGTTTGTATAAACTTGGTATGCAAAATTTGTATTTATTTACTAATAGTTTTTATTCTCCTATTTAGATTAAGTTTTATTGTTTTTTGTTTCTTAAATAGTTTATTCTTTTTTACTAACTCTAATTAATTTTTTTATATAATCTGAATTAGGTTTTTATAATAATCTTTATTCTATTTATATCAGATTTGAATTTTTTTTGAATAGTTTTATTTTTTTTTACTGACTTTAACTAATTTTATTTTTAATATATAATTTAAGTTATTTCTTTAATAATACTTTTTATTCTATTTAGATCAAGTTTTAATTATCTTTTATTCTTAAAAATAAGATCATATTTTCATTAATATTAATTAATTTTTTTAAAAAAATACATAATCAAGTCAGGTCTTTATAATAATCTTTATTTTATTCAGATCAATTTTTTTTTAAATTTAATTTTTTTATTAGTTCTAATTTTTTTAAATATATAAACCAGTATAGGACTTCTTATTCTATTCAGATTAAATTTTACATTATTTTAATTTAAATAGTTTTATTATTCTTTACTGACTCTAGCTAATTTTTATTTTAAATATGTAATCAGAATTAGTTCTTCACTAACCTCTTTATTCTGTTCAGATCAGATTATTTATTATCTTTTTTTAAATAAACAATTTTATTTTTTTCACTGGCTCTAACTAAATTTTTTTTTAGGTCTATGAAAAAAGTAACCTAACTTTCTTCAGATTATCATTTCATTATTGTTCCAGAAAATTTAATTTTTTTAAATGAAAAATATACAAATTCCTGATCATTTCCATAAAATCCCAGTAATTTTCAGGTAAAAATCTGATTTTGCTAAGATCCAGCTTTTAATATTTTGTATTTCATTATAATTGGAATCCAAATCTTATAGGGATTTGATTTTTACCTGGAGTTTGTCAGGGTTCTATGAAAATGACCAGAAATTTATATGTTTTGTTTTGAAAAATAAGCATTTCTGAAAAAAATCGGAATAATTTTGAGAAAGTTGAAATATGTTTTTCGAAAAATTTTTATAAGGAATGCTCTTTGTTCAGATCATTTTGTGTTGCTTTTTTTTCCACTTTATCTTAAATTAATCTATTCTTTACTAATTCTAGAAAATTATTATTATTTTTAAATATAATCAGGTGATATTTATTAGCATATTTTGATCTGTTCAAGTCAGTATTACTTTATTTTTTGGGATATTTATTTATTTTTTAAATAATTCCGTCTTTACTAACTTTTTTTTATAAAATATCGGTAAGTTCTATAACATGTCGGCGAAATGAATTTATTTTTGAAATAAGTATCTATAACATGTTGACGAATAGTACTGTCTGTGAATTGTACTGTCGGTGAAATAAACTTGTCGGCGAATCGCTCTGTCGATGAAATAAACTTGTCGGTGAATAATACTGTCGTTGAAGTGAACCCTAATAAACCTATATACATATATATCAGTGTTGGCAGCAATAGATGAATATAACAATAGAATAAAGCAATAGAGTTTAGAATAGAATAAAATTTTGTCAATAGAACAAAAAATTGCTAACAAGATTATTATTAGATATTAATATAGCAATAAATAAATAGAACAATATAACAATAGAATAGAGCAATAGAACAAGAAATTGACGACACTGATATATATATATATTTTCAAGAAAAATAGCATTATCTGAAATCAGTAAATGCTTATTGCTCTATGGAATTTCAATCAAAATCGGCTCGAAATTTATTATAAAATATTGAGAAGGATACATGTTTCAATTAAACTAAACGAAACATCACACTGAAAGCCTAAAACTTTACATCGGAAGAGCAATGTCTCATAGCTGTAAACGAACAAAAGTGCATATTTGGCATATATCAAACTAGAAGGAGTGTGGTAAGTTCTAATTGCATTATAACATGTTAAACCGAGCATAAATTTTTAGATATTTTATATTTTGATAGACGTTTATGTCATTGATGAAAGCCAAACATTTTATATTCGAGCGAGAGGTATTTAAATTGGTGTATTGTATGGTAATGCAATACCTGATATCAAATTTTTATTTTTTTATGAATTATAAAAAAGAAATTTGGTTCATACAATCCATTGTTCAGGCAAGAATATTTAATTGGATTAATAACTAATTTTCCAAAAACATTGTTTGTAGGCCAGGTGGTTTTTGTGTTGTAGCTTTTGTTGGAAAAAATAATAATCTAATGCATCAGAAGAAAGCACGCTAGGCAATAAACAGGATTATAAATCTGATATATCGAACAATGATATAGCTTCAAATAATAGTGAATTGGTAGTAAATCGTGCATATATTTATTTTTGTTCAGGTTTTGGAAGACAAGCTAGTAAATTTAGCATGATATACAATTATTAATCATTTTCAAAAATTAAAATTATACAGTAACTTATCATAAACTTTCTTTCATGTAGTAATCTTGATGCCTTCAATTATATCAACCTTGGAATTTATTCAATTTTCATGTATGGAAAATCAAAATCATCTTACGACATTTGATATGCATGTGAATATTTCATTCACTTATTATTAGAATTACTCATGAAAAAACACAATACAGTTTCCAACAGAAATTTAATAAGCGATAACTTGGAAATTAAAAAATTCGTCTCAAAATATGAAACTGGAAGGCAAAGATGCTCATTTATACGTGATATCAGAAAAGGAGAAAGTCTACTTTTACTAATAAACTAGAACGAATATGCTAAATAAGAGAAACAAAAAATGAAATAATATAATACGCAACAATTCATCCGTTACATTATGTTTATGACAAAATATTCAACTCGATCCAGACCCTGCTAAAACATTAATCGAATTGTTTTATAAGAAGTTTATAACAATAATTGATTCTTCTACGATCATTTTGTTAAAAGATTTATTTACATAAAATATTAATTAATTAATTCACAGTACTAAACAACAAAAGAATAATAATATGTTTACATTTATACCAAAATGTTTCAAACATCAATTCGTGACAATTTCACACCATTCTCTTACTGGCTTCAGTTTTTCCATGCTACTAACATTTACTAGTTAATTGATAATACTTAAGAATCACTTTTTTAGTGATTAACCAAAATAATCAAATTATCTTTAATTAATCAGTTAATCAGTTATTATTACATTATTAATTAAATAAATTCCTCAATCAATTATAACTTTATGACCAACCCAGCTAACAAAAAATATTGAACCGATAGAATAAAAAGTAGTAACTAAAATCCAAACAATATTCCAATTTCTATTCAAAATATCTAATATCCATCCAGTGAATGTCACACCTAATACAGCTGCAATTCCGGCAGAAGTATGTCCCAATCCATAAATTGCGCCAGCGTATTTGGGAGCTATATCCAACTATTATAATATATTTAAATTAAAATTGATTATATAAAGTGGTAATAATAATCGTTAATTTACCTGAGACACGTGTACGCTACAAGTAAAAAATGAGTTTAATGCTGTGCCAATTGATATTAAGACTATTCCTTGCATAGGTGTTTGTGCTAAATATGCTGCCTAATGAAAAAAGATAAATTATTACAAATTGAAAATATAGATGATTACAAATTGAAAATACAGATGATTACAAATTGAAAAAAATACATTATTATTATTGGAAAAAAAAATTATTGAAAACTTACACACAAAAGAAATATCGATGTCCCAGCTGCACCAATTATTTGAGCTCCTCTTCGTACAGTTAGTACACTAATATTCAATTTATTAATTGAATAGTCACAAATAATACCAGCGATAATGCCAACGGTTCCTTGTGTGGCATAAGGAAGTACTAAAAAGGGTTATGAATTTACAAATTCATGTATGTGCAAATGAATTATATTAATAATTAGAAATTACATTATATTATCGTTGCTATTATTATGAAATAAATTCTTACAAGAATAATACCCGAGATTTTTAAGATCTAACTTAAAATGATCCAAAAAATAAATAGGCAACCAATTGAGTAAAATAAAGTTACCAAACGAGTTGCAAAATTGTGCAATGAGTATAGCCCACACTTCACGACGAGAAAGAATGAATTTCCATGGAACATTTTTTGAATTTGACAATACAAATTTCTTTGGCAATAGTGCATCAACTTCAGATCCAAATTCATTATTATCTTCGTTTACAAAATTATTTAATGAAGTATCAAGAGTTACATTATCATTCTCATTCATTGTTGATTCATTAATCATTTCACCAGTTTCTATTCTATAACTCAAATTTTCACTAGACTTATTCTTTTGTTTGTCTTTTAAAATTATATCTAACTCTTTTTGACTTATTCCTGAATATTCATTTGGATTGCTTTTGCCATAAATTTGCCATAATATAGACCAAAAAATTCCAATAAATCCAAACGTCCAAAAAATGCTAGGCCAGCCAAAAGGACCAGACCCTAACCAAGTTGCTATCGGTAAGGCAATCACAATTCCTATATAAGCCGAGGCTATATATCAATTATATAAATATTAATAAAAAATTTTAATTTACAAACCTCTAATGCAATTGTAATTATACTTACATACAATAGCTGAAACTGCTTTACTACTTTCTTCTATTGGAAACCATGCAGCAATCAAGGAATTTACAGATGGAAAACATACACCTTCACCAACACCCAACAGTATTCGGCATAATAAAAGATATTCTAAACCAATCTTTGCAGAAATTGGTGTAAGAAAAGTAAATAATGTCCATAATATAGCAGCTAAAAATATTTATATAATTTCATTTACAGATGTTAAGGTGAAATTTAATTAAATTACTATAACGATCATTCCTTGCAATCACGCAAACGTGTATAAAAAATGTAAGATTTTATTACTTTGATATTACTTACAAACACCTAATACCGATTTTCCACCATATTTATCGGAAAGTGCACCACCTAAAACTTGAGTTGTTAGATAACCAAAGAAAAATGAAGACAATATAACACCTTGAACTGTTGATGTATAACCAAAGTCTAATGTCATATAGACTATGGCAATAGCCATGTTGGATCGATCTTTTTAGAAATTTTACATTTTAATACGTATATAATATTAAATACATTAATTATTAATTATTAAACCAAATCATAATTTTTAGGTACCTGCATAACTTATAATAATGCCAGTCACACAAAAGATAATTATAATTAATCGTTTTGGAATATAAAATCCTGGAAACGAATTAAAATTTTCGAAAATCATTTTTTTTTTCCTCGAATATAATATTTAAGAATGGTTCCCTAAGATATTTAAAGGCTGAAGCCTAGTTTTATTTGTATTTATGCACTTATTGATCACCACGCATGAAATCCATACACTTATAAGTGACATTGTCGCGCAAAACCAGGAACGGAAGGTGTACGATCTAATTTACAAATTTACATATAAAGTGAATTGAGAGTTCTAATTAATTTAACTAAAATATGCCAAAATTACGGTATTAAATGAATCATGTTATTGGAATAACTCATTTAAATTAATGCATTTTATAAAATATCTTTTGATGAACTTAAGCCAGGAATAACCAATTTGTTTCTATAATGCTACTTAGTGGCTGGAGTCATGAAATTAAGTTACTGAAATGCTGTAAATTAAAATAAATGTATTTAATTCACGAGTAACTCGAGTTAAAATTTCATTATCTGAATCATTATTATTTTGTTTCTTCATAATGTTATAATGTTTTGAGAAATTTTCCTTCCTCAAAACATTCGTGCTCTTCTTTTCTCATATTTTCAATATCAATTGTCTTGCGTTAAAATGACTAAATTTATTGTATCAGGTAGATAAAATAATGATGATTTCGAGTTTGTATTGCGTTTACTAGAATGACGTCGACCTGAAATTTTGTTAGGAGTAAGTTGCTTTAATGTACATTATTTAAACTTATTTCAGGCTCGTCCTCAATTGCAAGGTAGTCGGTTCGAATTATACTGGGGGATAAAAAAACTGTGCCAGGGCACGATTAAAGATCAGCCACAGACCGCCACAAGGATAAACATGAAATAAGGACACCTTCGGTGAACTCCGGTCGAAAAACTAGGAAAACTCCAGACAGTTCCAGTAAAATCCGGTTGTAAAACTAGAATACTGCTGGCAAAATTCCAGTTGTTAATAATTAGGATCTAATGTATTAAATATATATATAGTTAATTAACTCATGTAATTCTTAAATGTAGGTGATCTTACAAATTGAGAAGACCTCAGTTAATTAATTAAAAATGAGTTAATGTAATAAAATGGTACACCATATGGCGTCCTGCGGCAATCATGTCAGAGATTTAAGAAGGAAAAAAATTTTTATTTTCATTTCTGGATGAATATCTGTAAAGCTTCAAATATATTGAGATGGTGTGCCTTCTATCAGTTCTTTTCTATTTTTTTGAAAGATGTGAATAGTAAGAGAGTATATTGATTCGAAAGTTTGGAATAGTGGTCTTCTGCATGAAATTTCCCAAAGGATTATTTTTAAACTATAAACGTCCGATTTCTTATCACGTTTATGTTTATGATTGATAAGGTGTTTGGGTTCAATATATACTGGCATTCCATGAGCATTTCGTAATAATTTAAGCTAAATGAATTATATCAATTATATAATATGAACCGATTAAAACCTTAATATGCTTCATTAATAAAATCTTTGATAGTATTCTCATTTAAATTTGCGTTGACTCTAAGACATTTAAGGCAACGGTTAGTTCACTATCTTTCCAAAACCGAATGCCAATCTCTATAGGATCTGTAAATTTATTACATTCAAGATAATTAATATGTCCATCGGAAATAGCTTTTTCAAGCCACTCTTCCGGCGTATTTGCCATGAGTCTTTGTATTCCAAAAAACATTATAATTTTGGAAGTGCTTTCACAAAAAGTTAAGACCAGGAGCAACATTATGTGATAGTCAAAACAAACGAAACTTGGTTTGTTTTCAAAAAAATTACGTGTAAAATTAAGAAACCCACATTATAATTAGGGATTAGAATTAGGACAATATAACGTGTATTGGTAAAATTTCACAAGGAACATTTTTAATTAGGCTATAAAGAGTGGTTTCACAATTAAGAATCGTAAAAATGAAGCATAATAACGTGATATCGGACTCATAAATCGAACGAAGCAAAACAAGAAAAAAATATGATAAACTTGAAAATTTTAAAAATGGTGGTCTGAATATTCAAATAGGTTTATACTTTAAAAGTTAAAAAATTATAAAAATACAAATAACTATAGTTTAAGGGGTAGTTCGCAGTTAAAGGGCATAAACATTACTAAGTATCATAGTCGGAACTTATTAAAAATTTATGTAGTAGTGGAATGCCAATTCACTACAGCGAAAAGTCTTCTTTTTTTTTTTTTTGCCAAGTAACCATCTTTTGAATATTTGATTAAAATTGTAGAACATTTTATTTCAAGATACATATTAAGATTTTTTTTCTTTTTTACTATATATATGGTTTTTTCTTGTCAGAAATGTTTGACATTCCATCACTATATGGAAGTTATAGTAAAACTTAGCCGTATTTTTATACTTTTAACTGCGGACTTAACCATTTTTACTTACAGTTATTCCATAATTTCTGGGACACTTGCTCACTACCAGAAATCTTTTCAATCATTCAGTGAATTACCTAATTCTCCGGAAATTACATCACTGAATGTCCGAAGACAGCGATATAGTTTCTGGAGAGTTAGGTAATTTACCGAATGACCAAAAATATTTCTGGTAGTGAGCGGGTGTTCAAGAAATTATGATAATTATGATAATAGCTGTAATTAATTAAATTTGCATAATAATATCCACCTACGCATTATTTTTGAAGTTAATCTGTTATTTCGGGACGCGCGTGGGCGTCAATTCGAAGCCATTCATGTTATTTTTTTGGTCAATATAACACTCATAATAAAAGTTTGAGTTATTAAAATTTTTTTTTTTTTGGTATAATAACTTTAAACTTTTGACTAAACCTCTCAAATGACAACCTGATTGACATAATCTATTACTATTGATTTGAAGAATAGTACACATTTATGTACAGTACAACACTGATGGTTAAGATTTGTAAGCTTGCTATGAAACTTGGGTATCATCTATATGATTATAAGTATAAGATTTTTTATTGATGAATTAATTCATTGAATCCATCATTTTCCACATCTAAGAAGGGAATACGCATGCTATAAACTACAAGAGACACCATTAAATTCTTCATTTATCATTGACATGTACAGTAAAACATGTCACAAACAACCATCGTAATACTATCCCATCATCTCTTCGTATGAACGGAGACCACTAAAAATACTTCTAAGTATGTGATACCACCTAACACTACTAAGGCTAATATATCGATTGTGACAAGATAACGTAAATTTATTGAAGCACGATTTTTTTATGAATTAGATCAAATGCCAAGTATAATGTGATTATGGCAACTTAATATTTCAACTTTTAAAAAATTTTTGACCTGCCTTAGATCATATTAAAATTCAATTTCTTCATACGGTACCAGTTCAACGTACCCTTCTAAATCTTTTCTAAGATTATTGAAATTGTTAAGAAAATATGTGTATTTAGATGCACTTACATATTTCAAGGTTCCTTTTCGTGTACAAAATTTGATTAATGCTTTAATTGTTTCCTCTTTGTTACGGTAAAAATCAATTAGCAATTTCTTTAAAGGTGCTTCACAATGATTAAGTAAAATATCATTATGTGAATACGACCATTCAAGATATTGTAATGTTGGTGGTAATATTTTGGCAAACTGCTTAACCTGAGGTTTTATTACTTCCAATTTATCATCCATACACCTTAAGGTGAGAGATTGAAGTTTTTGTAAACGTTCAATAAGCTTTAAAAATCGAGCTGAAAGTCTAATATATGAAATGTAAAGATATGTGATGTTTGGACAGAAAGCCATAAGCGTTTCCTGTAATAATGATTGTGAACAAATTTCTTTATTTCCAGAATCAAGCTTTAATCGTTGCAATAAAGACCCAGATTTTTTCAAAATTAATATTAGATTCGATGCATCAAGTGGATATGAACTTATTTCTAAAGTACTGATTTTAGAATGACTTGTCTCTAATATTTTTAATAATTTCTTCTCTTCGCCATATAAAATACGAAGAACTTCCAAATTATCACAATTTTTTAATACTTTAAACTCTGCACTACATGTACAACCGTCCAACTTGATTTCTTGTAATGAATTTCTTTGACTCCCTAAAGCTGAAATAACACCGTGTATTTCTAATTCTAAATCTTCATCACAAACCAAACTGAACCACTTAAGTCGTTCTTGTGATTTAATGATATTTGACAAAGTATAATATATCTGTGGCTCATAAACATTGCAATATACTGCAAGTCTCAATGTATCAATTTTAGTTGTATTCTTTGCCAAAATTTTTAATAACATTATAGTATCTTCGATACCGAATGGTTCAGCTATTACTTCAATACCGAAACCATACGATTCAGTCACAACATCCACTACTACAGATACATCTTGAAGTCGAGAAAAGAAATGATTATTTTTTCCCAACGAGTAAAATATTTCCGGTTTAATAATCATTTCAGTAAAGTAAACGTCTAATTTAGATAAAGTGGCACCACTCTCGATAAATGATTTAAATAACAAATTAGCCAAATCATCTTTTGTTATATAAATTAAATTTTGTTGAATGGTATGAAAACTGATCCATTTTCTAGCACTATCTTCTAAACGAGATAAATTAAGAACCTTTAAAAATCTTGCATAATAAAACAATGTATTAGGAAAATTAATATTTATCCCACATTCTTTTAAAATAGATTTGTCATCTTCGTCAAGATTTGAAAAGTATCTGGATATGAACATTGGATTTTTATTGAATGCAAATGGATCTCGCCAAAGTATAGGAATTGACATTTTGCACCAATGTCGACTCACTAGAGCACATGAATATAAAGAATAAAACTCATTATCTAAATTATTTAGAATTTTTTCCATTAAT